GGTCTCGCCTCGCACGCGGAATCCAAAGCTGAAGCTAGAACGGCAAAGCTGCAGTGCAAACAAAAACTGCAATGCAAAAAAGACTGCAACACAAAAAAAGCTGGAATTCTGATCATGGTCGTTGGCGCCGTGGGCTTCAGACCCTCTCTGGACGTTCCCAAACTGGTCTTGCATCGCACAGGGAATCGAAAGTTGAAGCTAATTAGAACGATGAAGCTGCAATGCGGAAAAAACTGCAATGCAATTACAAACGGCAACGCACACAAAAACTGTAGTTCTGATCATGGTGTTTGGCGCCGTGGGATTCAGACCCTCCCTGGACCTCCGCAAACCGCTCTCGCCTCGCACGCGGAATCCAAAGCTGAAGCTAGCAAAGCTGCTGCGTGAACAAAAACTGCAATGCGAAACAAATTGCAATGCAACAAAATTGTAATACTGATCACGGTCGTTGGCGCCGTTGGCTTCAGACCCTCCCTGGACCTCCCCAAACCGCTCTCGCTTCGAACGCGGAATCCAAAGAAGCTAGAATGGCAAAGCTGCAATGCACAACAAAAACTGCAATGCAAAAAAAGCTGCAACGCAAAAAACAACTGTAATTCTGATCATGGTCGTTGGCGCCGTGGGCTTCAGACCCTCCCTGGACCTCCCCAAACCAGTGTCACCTCGCACCCGGAATCTCAGGCTGAAGCCAGAACGGCAAAGCTGCAAAGCTGAAGAAAGTTGCACTGCTAACACAACTGCAATGCAAAACAATTGTAATTCTGATCATGGTCGTTGGCGCCGTGGGCTTCAGACCCTCCCAGGACCTCCCCAAACCGGTCTCGCCTCGCACGCGGAATCCAAAGCTGAAGCTAGAACGGAAAAGTTGCAATGCAAACAATAATTGCAATGCAACAACAAACTGCAATACAGAAAAACTGCAATTCAAGAACAATTGTAATTCTGATCATGGTCGTTGGCGCCGTGGGATTCAGACCCTCCCTGGACCTCCCCAAACCGCTCTCGCCTCGCACGCGGAATCCAAAGCTGAAGCTAGAACGGCAAAGTTGCAATGCAAAAAGTGCTACAATGCAAAAAACAAATGCAATGCAAAACAATTGTAATTCTGATCATGGTCGTTGGCGCCGTGGGCTTCAGACCCTCCCTGGACCTCCCCAAACCGGTCTCGCCTCGCACGCGGAATCCAAAGCTGAAGCTAGAACGGCAAAGCTGCAACGCAAACAAAAATAAAATGCACATTGCACACAAACTGTAATTCTGATCATGGTCGTTGGCGCCGTGGGCTTCAGACCCTCCCTGGACCTCCCCAAACCGGTGTCACCTCGCACGCGGAATCTCAGGCTGAAGCCAGAACGGCAAAGCTGCAAAGCAAAAACAAATGCAAAGCAAAACAACTGCAATGCAAAAGAAAAATTGTAATTATGACCATGGTTGTTGTTGCCGTGGGCTTCAGACCCTCCCAGGACCTCCCCAAACCGGTCTCGCCTCGCACGCGGAATCCAAAGCTGAAGCTAGAGGGGAAAAGTTGCAACGCAACAAAAATGCAAGGCACAATGCAAACAAACTATAATGTTGATCATGGTCGTTGGTGCCGTGGGCTTCAGACCCTCCCTGGACCTCCCCAAACCGGTCTCGCCTCGCACGCGGAATCCATAGCTGAAGTTAGAACGGCAGCGTTGCAATGCAAACAAAGCTGCAATGTAACAACAAATTGTAATTCTGATCATGGTCGTTTGCGCCGTGGGCTTCAGACCCTCCCTGGACATCCCCAAGCCGCTGTCGCCTCGAACGCGGAATCCAGAACCGAAGCTAGAACGGCACAGTTGCAATGCAAGCAAAATTGCAATGCAACAAACAATTGCAATGCAAACCAAACTGCAACGCAAAAAAAGCTGGAATTATGATCATGGTCGTTGGCGCCGTGGGCTTCAGACCCTCCCTGGACCTCCCCAAACCGGTCTCGCCTCGCACGCGGAATCCAAAGCTGAAGCTAGAACGGCAGCGTTGCAATGCAAACAAAGCTGCAATGCAACAACAAATTGTAATTCTGATCATGGTCGTTTGCGCCGTGGGCTGCAGACCCTCCCTGGACATCCCCAAGCCGCTGTCGCCTCGAACGCGGAATCCAAAACCGAAGCTAGAACGGCACAGTTGCAATGCAAGCAAAATTGCAACGCAACAAACAATTGCAATGCAAACCAAATTGCAACGCAAAAAAAGCTGGAATTCTGATCATGGTCGTTGGCGCCGTGGGCTTCAGACCCTCCCTGGACCTCCCCAAACCGGTCTCGCCTCGCACGCGGAATCCAAAGCTGAAGCTAGAACGGCAGCGTTGCAATGCAAACGAAATTTGCAATGCAACAACACATTTCAGTGCAAACCAAACTGCAGCAAAACAATTGTAATTCTGAAGCTGGAACGACAAAGCTGCAAATAAGAAAATCGGCAATGCCAAAAATGCAATGCAAAACACAACTGTAATTCTGATCATGGTCGTTGGCGCCGTGGGCTTCAGACCCTTCCTGAACCTCCCCAAGCCGCTCTCGCCTCGCACGCGTCTCGCCTCGCCTCGCACGCGGAATCCAAAGTTGAAGGTTAAACTCAAGCTTCAGCCTTTCGTTTTGCTGCTTGGCGTCCCGCCGTGCGCTACAACGGCTAAGAACTTCACGTCGCGAGTCGATTCGGGGAGTAGGAGGAGTAGGAGGGGGAGGAGGAGCGGGAGGAGGAGGGGCCTGCCGCACACGCGGCGCCTCGGACGTCGGGGCCATGCCGATCTCGTGTGGCCCTGCTTCACCTCCAGGGGGGCAGCCGCCTCGCGCCGTGGTGCCGTCCCAAAAAACAACTGGCTCGCGACGAAGAGCCTGCCCTGGGGAGGCCCACGCGTCGGACAGTCGTGAAGCATTGACGAGCTGGATCGACGAATGTGCGCGGTGCGGAGGCGAGAGTCCAATCTTGAACAGACGACTTGCGCTCTATCCGTGTTGGTGCTGCAGCTTTTACACGGCGAAGATGTGCGGCGTTGAGGCGAAATCTTCATTTGGAAGAAGAAACATCCTTGGGAATGCTGCGCGTTTCTGGCTTCAGGATCATACGTGGTGGCGAAGTCTGAAGCGCAACGCGCGCGACAGGGAGGAACGATGTACAAGTACAACATATGGAGAAGTGGAGGAGGAGGAAGAGGAGGAGGAGGAGAGGGAGGATGGGAGGGATGGGGGGTGAGGAGGGTGGACGAGCAGGAGGAGGAGGGCGAGGGAGGAAAAATGGAGGCGGAGGATGAGCAGGAGGAGGAGGAGGAGGAGAACGAGCAGGAGGAGGAGGAGGAGGAGAAGGAGGAGGAGAGGGAGGGGGGAGGGAGGGGGGGTGAGGATAGGGGACGAGCAGGAGGAGGAGGGCGAGGGAGGAAAAATTGCGGCGGAGGATGAGGAGGATAAGGAGGAGGAGGAGGAGGAGGAGGAGGTAGCAACAGCAACAGCAGCAGAGGAGGAGGACGAGGAGGGCCGTCACTGCGGCCCCAGCCGCCCCCCCACGGAGGAACGCAAACGGACGTGTGGTCGCTGGGCGTGATCCTGTACACCCTCGTCATCGGCCAGTTCCCCTACGTCCCGGAGCCTCAGTGACTGAACTGGTCGCCATGGTCTCGTTCGGTGTGGTGGTGTGTTATGTGATTTGTGTGTGCTTGTCGCCGTTCGTCCGCCCCCCTTGTTTTCTGCCAAGCTCTGTCTGGGCCCGCCTGGCCCGAGACACACACACACACAAAAAGCCTGGGCGTGGCAGAGCGTGGCAGAGCGTGGCGATGATGATGATGATGATGATGATGATGATGATGATGATGATGATGATGATGATGATGATGATGATGATGCTGATGCTGATGCTGATGCTGATGATGATGATGATGATGATGATGATGATGGTGGTGATGGTGATGGTGATGGTGATGGTGATGGTGATGGTGTTGGTGATGGTGATGGTGATGGTGATGGTGATGGTGATGGTGATGGTGATGGTGATGGTGATGATGATGTTCGGATCCGCCGTACTCTGAGCGACGAGTGTCGGAAACGATTGAGCAACACTCACGCCTAACATATGGTGTAAACTCCCCCCTCCCTCCGAATGCAATGTTGGGCTCGGATCTCCCGAGCTTGAGTGTCGGACCAGTGATGCGTACACGTGCCAACTTTGAATTGCGGGGGGAGGGGGGAGCATTGCTTAATTTTTTCCCTCAACCGGATTTCGCTAGTAGGGCGGAAACATCCGCCCTACTTTTCAAGGTCATTTGATGCCGATTTCCACTCTGCTTGACCGTCTCTGTTGCCGCAGCACTTTTACATACATGTCCGCCCCATTTTTCAGAGGCGAAGATTTCTGCCCTACCTTTTCGTGTATCGTTTGGGGTGCATGTCCGACAGAATCAGCAAAAAACGGCGGATCCGAAGTCAGGGAACGGTCGGGCGGACGACAATGGGGGGGCAAAAAACCTCGAGGGATCGATGAATGCAGCAAAGTGGCCCGCGGGCCTGAAAGGTGCACGGAAGGTGCACGCTTCTTCACCCCACATGTATTTCTTTCCCGCTAGCGAACACCCGACAACGGCCAGTGCCAAAGTGATGCAACATTTGCCGTTTTTTTTTTCTTCACACCAGGCGTTTTCGCCCGGTTTCGGGCCCTGGGACCATCATAGATGGATCCGGTTCGAAAAATGCCGCAGACACGACATCTTCCGAGCCTTCCGAGAAGGCCCGCCCTCTCTGCCTTCCCCCCCCCCCGGGGGCTCGCCGCCGAGCACATCTGCGGGCCACCACAGCTCGGGCCTCCGGCGGCCATTCGGGACGAGCCGGCCCTCTCTGAGGCGCAGCTGCTGGGCAGCACCCCGAGGCTGGAAGGTCTCCTCGGGAGCCGACGGGAGAGCGGGGCAGCTCCGGATATCCCCGGGCCCGCCGCCGAGAACCTCCTCCTCCCCCGGGCTCGCCGCCGAGGAGAAGCCGTGCGTGAAGCTCATGAAGGCCGCCGTCGCCTCGGGCGTCCCGGAGCCGAGCTTCCGGTGCGTGGCCGAGGGCGTGGAGCTGTCCAGCGAGGTGCCGGGGAGCTCGGGGGCCGCCCGCGGGGCGCGAGGATCCCGGGCCTCCTTCGCTCCGCGTTCTTCCTCCACCTCTTCGCTCCTCGCTCCTCCTCCTCCTCCTCCTCCTCCTCTTCCTGCTCCTCCTCCTCCTCCTCCTCCTCCTCCTCCTCCTCCTGCTACTGCTCCTGCTCCTCCTGCTCCTCCTCCTCCTCGCTCCTCGCTCCTCGCTCCTCGCTCCTCGCTCCTCGCTCCTCCTCCTCCTCCTCCTCCTCCTCTGCCTCCTCCCCCGGTCTGCTCCACCGTGACCGCGTAGCCGTCGAGCTTCAGCCTCCACCGCGTTCGCGATGCTCACGATGCTCGGCTCGCCGTCTGACCTGAGCCTTAGCTTGGTGGCCCCTATCCATCTGAGGAAGCCCGCGATCGACGACTCCGCGCACTCCCGGTTGCCGCCCTTCTCGGGGAGGCTCAGCTGCGGCGGGGCGCCCGTGTCGCAGCCCACAACGGCGATCGCGGTGGAGAACTTGTTGGCCACGTCCTCCATTTGCTCGCCATCGTCTTTCAGGAAGTGGCAGTCTCTCTGAACCACAGGGATCTCTGGCTCCTGGTCAGTCAGAAAAAGAACTCCTCGATGGGGTGCCGCGCCCCCTTTGCCGTAGACGCACTCCAGGCACCAGGCTCGAACTTCGCGTGGGTCAGCTCGCGCAGCCTGACCGTCTCCGCGTTGGGCCTCTTGGGAACCTTCAGCGTCCTGGGCGCCGCGGGGCCGATCCCATTCTTGAAGTCGCCGCTGACGTTCCTCCAGAGCCCACTTCACCTTCATCCTCTCATCCAGAATCTGCTCTCGTGCAACTGCGCCTTGGTGCCATGGATCGCCGCGTCGATGACACCCAAACTCTTGAGCTCCTTCAAGCGGGCCTTCAGCGCCCCGACCAATGACTGCGGCCCCGGGATCTCCCCTGGACCCTGCGCCTGCTGGCCTCCAGGTGCTGCTGGAGGGGCTCTGACCTTCCTGTGCTGGTTGAGGTCCTGGGTCGGCCGCCTGCTGGCCCACCTGTGCCACCGCCGCCTGGTCGACCACGGGCGCAACTCTGTGCTGATGAGCTCCTGGCTCCAGCACCCTGCACTTGGCGTAGCAGCTCTTCCCAATCATCGTGAGGGGTATCCGCCTTGCGTTGCCACTCACGCTCGGCGGAATCATGTAGCTGTTGCCATCTCGAGGTGGATGATCGAGCCTCGCATAACCCTGAGCTTGCAGCTGAGCACAGGCTTACTGAAGTCGCCGATGAGGAAGTGGTTCATGGCCTTGACCTCGTTGCCGCCCTCGTCCAGGAAGGCGATGCCTACGTTCCGCTCTCGCAAGTCCTTGATCTCTTCGTTGGTGGCCGTCCTGAGCTCGACGCGCGGGGGGACGCTGACGCCGTCGCTGGCGTGTCCAAAGTCAAGAGGACAGCCGTCCGCGTCAAAATCACTGTCGATCGAGACCCACACTTACTTGCTGGTGTCCTCGACGGCCCCGACGCGTCCCAGGCGGGGTTCCACTTCCGCTCCCAGGTGGGGTGGCTCCACTCGTCGCCTGTTCTCGGTGACTCCCATCACCCACTGCGCGTCTCCTTCCTCGGTGATCCTGCCCACATCCATGCTGGCCTCCTGTTTTTTGAGCCTGCACTCTGACGCCTTGTGACCCTTCTTGCCGCACTTGTCGCACATCAGGTCGGAGCTACAGTCCTTGGCTAAGTGACCAAGCTTGCCACACTTGTCGCTCTTCGGCCTGTTCTTCCCAGACTTGTCCTTCTCCTTGTCCTTGGCTTTGCCTGAGGGCGCGGCTGCTCCACCAGGTCGCCAACAGTCTCGAGCCCAGTGTCCCTTCCTGCCGCAGTTCTCGGACGTCTCCATGTCATTGTCTCGGCCCTTGCCAGCTTGCGCCCTGGCGTCCTGTCGCAGGAGTATAAAACACTGCCGCGCGCTCTTGAGTTCTCGTAGACCTTGCCGCTCGCGATGAGGTCCGTGACGACCTGCGCGAGCTTGTGGTTGTTCTGACCGACCGACCCCAGGGCCGGGTGCACCACCGCCTTGACGTCGTCGGGAGCCCATCTCGTGACGACGGCGATCTTCGCGCCGTCGCTAACCCTATCCACCGGTTGAGCCTCATAGAGCGAGACGCTCTTCTCCGTCCAGGCTATCTCCCAAGCGCTGATGCCTCTCGGGATGTGGCTGTCCCACTCAGGCTTCAGCACGCCCATCGGCATGGCGGTGCGCCTGGCTCCAGACTTCGGCTCGTGCTCCTCCTTGAGTCGCTTCCAGCCGATCGCACCGCTCTTCTTCGGCACCACCTGGAGGATCGTCAGCGCCTTGCCCTTCGTCGTCGCAATCAGCAGTTGGTGCAACACCTTCATGCGAAGCTGGACGCTTTCCGATTGGTCTATCGAGGCGAGCCCCGACTCCGCCGTGACTTCGCAGCGTGTCATGCTCTGCCCCAGGTCCACCAGGCCAGCCGTCGACTCCAACGCGAGGCACCATTGCCTACAGTCCTCGTCCTGGCCTGAGAAGATCCCGATCCTGTTGGGGATCTCCGTGTCCATGATGCTCTCGAGCCTCTTGTCCTCTCCTGCGCCAGCCGCTGGGCCTCTACTTTCGGTGAGCCTCTGAATTCCGGCCTGCTGCTCGGCTGCCGTCTGCTGAAGATCGGCGAACACGGTCTCCATCGCAGCGCGAGAGGGAGATCGCGCCCCGCTGCCGTGCGAATCGATATACGATGGGACGGAGTGGGACCTTTTGCTCCTGGCCAGGGCAACTGCTTGAGACGTGCCAACTCGATGTTTATTCCGCAGGCGTGCATCTCTTAGTACATTTCCTAACTCGTGGACAACCCCTCGAACCTATGCGCTGGTGCTATCTGGAGACGCGGAAGAGCAGGAGACCGCCATAGCGGGGTTCTTGATCTCCACGAAGCTGCGCGCAAGCGCAATTGACTTCAGGGTGATCTATCCGAGGGCGGCTGCTGTGAAATTGCGGGCCCGTGGCAGCAAAGTCCCCGCGCCTGGTATTTGCGCGCCGCACGGCGGCGAGCCTGCGGATTAAAGACGAGAGTTCAGTCAGACGCTCAGCACCACAATCCGCGATGCTTCCAGTCATGGTGGGCTAATTCTGTGGGGGGGCTTCAATGCGAGGTCGCGCTGGCAACTTCCCTGCGATTCTCCGCGCGTCGGGCCGCGCGTTCTCAGGCGCCCCACTGCGCAGCCCGACGCGAATTCAAATCGCAATTTGCTTGGGGGGCTTTCCCATGATGTGGCAGTGAGCAGCACGTTTTTCGACCGCCCAGCTGACTTGCAGATGACATGCGATAGCGTTGGGCCTCGGCCTACAGATCCAGCCCTTCTGGCATGTCTGGCAAATCGATGTTCTGGTCTGTTCTGCCGAAAGACGCGCAACTGTCTCGGGCGTGGGGCCAGGGAGATGCACCTCCGGCGTCGCGCCAGTTCTTGCTGCCCTGTCGCATTCATGTGGACATGCCAAAAGATGCCCCGACACGTGCACCCAAGCCAGACTTGCCAGCGCGGCAACGGGACCGCTATCAGGAAGACTCCGGCGAGGAGCTCGCCGACAGGATGGCGGAGGCGGGCGCCGAGCAGCGCGCGCTGGATGAACTCAATGCGCGCGTGGTGAGCGCGCTCCAGCACGCAGCAGAACGCATTCGTGCCGACGCTGCCAGCAGCCCGACATCGCCCTCGGATCAGAATCGCCACTTTGGAGCTGATCACCTCGCAGAGCGACGCCCGGAATAACTGCGACCACGCCAGGGGGCGGCGGCTCAACGGCGTGATCGCGGCGTCTGCGATGGCAGACCGGAACACGCGACTCGACGATCTACTCGCTTCTGGAGACCTGGGCAGAGATCTGAAAGTTAAGAAAGGCTCCTAGGCAAAATAGGGCCGCGTGAGTGGCGCGACAGGCGCGCCCGTGGGCAGCGACCAGCGCGCGGACATACTGACGGAGTACGTCTGCACTGTGCAATGGGCTGCACGGCCTATGAATGCTATCGACGACCCGTCGCCCATTGGTCCATGCCTGCCGGCGGCGAGTGGCCTTTTTCGGTCTGGCGAGGTCTGACGAGCCGCGAAGAAGCTGCAGCGGAACAGAGCCTCTTGGGGCGACGACATTCCAGGTGAGTTCTGGAAAGCGACATGTAGGCCGGGCACGGCGGCGCACGAGTGGGCAACGAAGTTGCACAATATACGCTGGACTGAAAAAGGATGTTCCTGATGCGCGGCACGAGGCAATAGTGACTGCCTCGTTCAAGGAAGGAGACTCAGCCGACCGCGCCAAGTATACACCCATCTCTCCACTGCCGAATGTGCTCCTCAATCGCTTGAAGGAAGCTGGTGCGGAACGGAAAATCAGGGGGGCCCAGTTCGGGTTCCGGTCTGGCCGCGGCATGAGCGACTCGCCGTTCGTTGCCCGGCGCTGGATCGAGAGCTCATGGGAAGCACGTTCAGGAAATATTGCGATGTTGGCGCTGGGCTGGGCGAAGGCCTTCGGCGGCGCGCCCCCCGACAATCTCGCGCAAGCACTCGCCCGCGTCGGCGCGACGCGTGAGTTCGCAGAGGCTGTCCGACCTGCGCACTCAGACCAGACTTTTCGAGGGCGCGACGCTGGGGCGACGCCCGCATCGCGACCTCAACCATTCGGCGCGTCCTGGGGATGTTTTTTTGCCACCGAGTTTGCTTTCAATCGCTATGGCGGCTCTGATGCGCGACGCCGCCCGGGCGTTTCAAGCGCGCGGACTTGTCCACGATAACGGGCCCCTTGTCAACGAATATATTCACGCTCGTGGCTGGAGTGCGAGATGAGTTATGGGCAAACTCATGCGCGAGATTCAACGAACTGGACAGGGGCAAACTCAAAGCCGCGCCGGTTCGCTGCGAGGCAGCACTTCGCCAAGCCAGACGGGCAGTGCATCCGGGACAAGGAGTGCACGGTTTACTAGCGCGGTTTGCCGAGTGCAAATGGATGGAGCGG